CAGGGGTTGGACAGGGGTTGGCCCCCCCTACCCCCCCCCCTAGGACCCCCCCTTCTCCCCCCGATAATCCCTCGAAAAACCTCTCCGAAATCTTTTGACCATTATTACTCTTTTAATTATTGGCTAGTAGGACGTCGATCTTCAGCGGTTGAAGGAACAAGAAGAAGAACCTGAATCAACATGTTGTCATGGTGTAATTATGTCTCTTTTATTTTTTGCTCAATTGATGGAAGATGATGATCTATCTCTCAGTACCCTATTAGGGAAATAGCTTCATCTAGTCGTTGCTCCTTGTTCTTTGCTTCTAACAATATCACGGACCTGTTGCTCAAGTAACAACAAGAATGACGCAGGAGTCTCACTTCTCCACAACTAGGGGGCTCTTCTTCTTGACGACCTGACCACGAGCACGAGGGCGAGCTTGCTGTCACTCACTGTCGTGAGTCATATTCTTGCTACTTTGTAGTTTTCCAAGGGTCTACGCCACAGGATCTACTTCACGACATACAGCCTGACTCCTACCGAAGATGATCAAGTCTGTGATCATCGTGAATAACCAGGGGAAACCAAGGCTAACCCGCTTCTACGTGGACACACCTTTGGATGTGCAGAAACAGGTAAATACTTAAATATTTTATATGTAACTTCTTCTTCTTCTTCTTCTTCTTCTTCTTCTTCTTCTTCTTCTTCTTCTTCTTCTTCTTCTTCTTCTTCTTCTTCTTCTTCTTCTAACAAAGTACTACAGGTTCTTGTATCTACCCTAAACCCCGGACTGTGTTCAACAAATTGATCTACTTCGCTTGAGTGTTAATTTTAGGCGTCGATGAAGCGTTTGGTACTAATATTTAATTTGCACCTAAAAAACCAACTCCTACTCCACACAGATCCTGAAAACCGTTCACGGCATCGTTTCTAAGCGGTCTGACGATGTCTGCTGCTGTTTCGGGCACGATCCAGAAGACCCGAGCTTCAAAATCGTTTACAGGCATTATGCCACCCTCTACTTCATATTCCTAATCGACGAAGCCGAAAGCGAACTAGGAGTCTTAGACTTGCTGCAAGTTTTCGTTCAGGTCCTAGATACCTGTTTCGAGAACGTCTGCGAGCTGGACCTGATCTATCACTTCGATCGGGTGAATTTATGCCAACATGTTGTAGAAGTTCTACAAGCTCTAGCTGCCTCTGTGTCTTCTCCTAGTACAACCACTTCCACTAAGTAACTTATGACAGTACTATTGCTATTGAAGATTAGGATTACCTGCTTTTTCTACGTGCATCATTCATTGCAATATTTATACCCACAACATTAAGTACTTAAAAATAAGTAGTACATCAAATTCGTTTTCTAATTAGTATTCAACATTCTATTTCTAATCTTGTACGTCCTTGATGAATTGGTAATGGCAGGGATGGTCCTGGAGACGAATATCGATACTATCCTACAATCCATCGCGGATGCCAAAAAGCTGGAGACAGATGAGACCAGTTCGAGCTTTCTTGGTTTTGAGCTGCCGGCGGCGCTGACGTCTAGATGAGACGTGCTGTAGTCCTCGAGTTGACCATAATATTATTATACCATGTGGAGGAGTCGTAATAGGATGGGATGAAACTTCGCTAATAACAAGAAAACTTCTACGCCTGTTGATGATTTTGTTACTATGTTGACAGGATTTTGCCTGATGTCCATGTATTCATAATTGTTAGAAAATTTTTCGAAGAAATTATAGTAATAGAGGACGTGCTGCTCCAGCGACGGTCGCCTTTGTTGGCAAAACTTGTTCTCTGATGCGCATGCGATGATGGTGAAGATGCACTAGTGGAGGAGTTTCTCTTCCAGTACTAAATGCAAGGTGGAGGAGGTTCAATCAAGAAGTACTCGGAACACCGATCTTCAGCAGGGAACCTGCTTCATGTGTTGTAAGTTGTTAAGATCATAATCGATGATCAAGAGGATCCAGGACATCAAGTTCTAAGTATAATCGGTCACTCGCGTTTGCGAGTTCCACCTTTTCCAGAACAAGCAGTAGTTCTAATATTAAGGGAGGCAAAACCACGACATTGGTTCTTACATTTTGTTCAGGGCAAAACAACACAAAAAGAATTTTTTACGATGATGTGGGACTTGCACTTGATAGTGCTTTCAGGAGCAGGAAGATCCTGTCCTAGACCACGACCACCACATTCGCAGCACCTTCTTACTACAGGAGTTACAACGTGGTCGACAGTCTGGTCGCAGCAGAGACGCTTTCTCGTACAGATGAAGTACATGAAGAAGGGCTTCTTTCAACAAGAAGATGCAACTGCTGCGTCGAATAAGTCCAGGAGTACTTCTGCTTCTAGTAGCGGTAGCACCTCCAGCACTACGAGCAGCAGCACATCTTTTTCCTCATCATCTTCACCCTACATTGTCAGACGAACTCCAAGTGGCAATCTTCCCGTCTATACCGAGCCCTGTTCGAATGGTGGGAAGCTTGGGACGTATAAAATGCGGATTCAGAGAGTCTTTGGCGATCAACAGAGCTTGGTGGGTGACATATTCGCAGCATGTTTGAAGGCTCCTTCTGCTACTGTTGGTACTAGTGGGAAACGCGGCGAGACTACAAGTAGCGAATCGCGTCATGGTGGAAGAAATACAACTGACCAGCAGGAGAAAGACCGCGTCGCTAGTCTTGGTCCTCGTTTCAAATGTTCTTTCGTAGAGAGAGGTGGAGGTCGAGTTAGGAGACCTCCTCTATCTTATGATGTTGGAGGTTCATCTTCACCTGGTAGTCGTAGTCCTACATCTAACTTTGGTGGAACATCTTCAACTACAACAGCAGATGAACGAAGATCTTCTCCTAGCACATCGCCGAATCAGAGGCTGAACGTGAAGATATGTAAGAAGAAAGGAAGGATAGAGATCGACCAAGTGCAGAGGCAGTGGGATCATAAAGTCAAGGAATTTCTGTGCTCTAAGGGCTTTTAAAAAAAATCATCTAACGTACTTATCTACTTCTCGTCGATTGAAGTAGATGGAGACCAGCACTTTGACTGGATCATTGTGCTTGCCGTGGTGACAATGCTCCTACTTCTTCTTGATGTGCTGGTGTTCAATCTATTCCTCTCGATGGTCCTCTCTGTCGATGTTCGTACGAAAAGTCGATGCAAAAGATGATCGATCAAATGGAGCAGTAGAAGATCACGAAGGGTTATGTGGCATGTGCTGGTGTCTCCCTGGCTTGTCGAGGATCATGGAAGTTGATGTCGAACGCAACCGAAAATCTTGCAGCTTGTTTTTGAAGAATTCTCTTGCAAGACTACTTTTGCTTTCGGATATTAGTGGATATACGAGCGTCTTCATCTCTTTTTCAAATTTTCACTTTGTCGTTTTTAAACGATAGATGACATAACACAAACATCACTGGACTTGAGGGCTTTTCTCTCTGCATAATTTTCATACTTCATGAAGTCGTCCCTGGAATCCAAACTGCATCTTCAGTGTCAAGAACTACATTCAAGGGTCGTCGTGAAAGCATTTTTCCTCGAGTACCTTGGTAAGTAGTGGGAGCCTTTCTTTTCTTTCATCTTCATCCACTAACCACAAAAACAACTACAACATCGTTTGTTAGTTACCCTCATCTCATCAAGCAAGAAGATGCCTGCGTCATCGTCGCGTGGTCGTGGAAGGCGACAACGTTCGCTATCTTCCCGTCATTCCTCAGTGGTAAGCGATAGAGAGTATGCGAAAGTGAAACAAAGAAAGCGAAGCATTATGGAGGCTGTGGCTTTTCCTCACGTGAATAGTGTAGTTCTAGGTGTAGGTGATGTTGATTTCTTGAAAAATATATGTCACGATCAAGAATCATGATCAACATGAAGGAACAAGCACTTGTTCTGATTGAGTGCTTGATGTTCTTGTTAGTGCTATAACTTTGTGAGAAAAATACAATCAAGTGTCGTGGTCTGTGAGTTGATCATGTAAAAACTCTAGTTTCCACTTGAACGGAATTCCCTCTAACCCACGAAGCCCGAGTATCGACAAGAAGAAGTCTTCTCGTGCGCCTCCAGCGAAACCTGCGACTACCCGTTCGAATTCGCGTGGGCGTTCTCGTAACTCTCGCCGTCGTTCGCGAGGAAGATCGCAGAACTTATGGTGAATTTTGATTTCGTAATCTAGTCCCGTCATCATTATTACGTAAATTAATATCTTGGCGTTGTTCTTCCCAAGGAAGAAGAAGAACTGTTATTTCTATTTTTAACCTTTGAAATTGACTGAACAAGAAAGTAGAACAGAGGACTGTCGCAGTCCATTTCTCGTCTAACCTCCCGATCCTCAAACAAGAACTCGATCTATGGTAAAAGCGTTCTGATTCGCAACTTGCCTCAGACGACTACAAAGGAGGATTTGGAAACTGAGTTTTTGCGGTTTGGTGACGTCGATGACGTTCATATCCCATTGGACTACAACACCAGGAAGCAAAAAAGTTTTGCGTTCATCAAGTTTGCGGAAAGTTATGGTGCTGAAACGAGTAGAAGATACAACTAGTACGACTGACTATTTAGTACAACGAATAGAAGATACAACTAGTACAACTGTTGACTATTTAATATAGTACAAGTGAAGATAGACGAGGACAAGAACAAGTACAAGTGATAGTACAAGTGATTTAGACGACAAGGACAAGAACAAGGATGTTCTTGTTTGATATTATTTTTAGTGATCATGATGACAAATAGTTACTTTACTAGCGACTTCTACTTGTTGGTGTAGTTCATCAGCTTCAGATCATGAATCTTTCCGTTCCTTCTTCCTCATCTTCATCTGTTTAAGCTTGAGTACTCGTCTTTTTCTTTCTTCTTCCGTGAGCTCGAGAAGAAGTAATTGTTCTTTCATCTTCCAGATGCTGCTGAAGACGCCATTGCTCGCATGGATGGCACCGATTTCAAGGGGAATGTTATCTCGCTGACCGTGGCTGAAGATCGTCGTAAGTCGCCGAACACTATGCGTCGAATCTGCGCTTCCCGCGACAGTCGCGACCGAGGAGGCCGCGACAGAGGAGGCCGCGACCGTGGAAGAGACGATCGTAGATGAACTAGTGCGACCGTTCTTGGAAAGTAGGGTCTTGAACACGATCGTAGATGAACTAGTACAACCGTTCTTGGAAAGTACTAGGGTCTTGAACTTGGAGTCCAAATGGATGGAGAAGTAGAGTCCAAATCTAAAAGTAACTGTAGTACTATTGAAAATGGTCGACTGGACGGGACACCGACTATTACTTGCAATAAAAAGAGCTCGTCGGCAGCTTTCTCGGCAAGAAAGGAAGTTTTTTGGAACAATAGCTCTAGCTCCTTGAAGATAGCATGCTTTTCAATTCTACTATGAAACTAAATTGAAGCTCCTTGTTCCCCAACATTATCAACATCAAAACACCAATAAATATAAATCGAATGCGCACGAAATAAACATCCAATGAATGTCTATGTCACTGTCACAAAGGCATCTGCTTCTACAACAAGACCGACGCAACAAACTACAAAGTAAAGGAAGCGGCTTCAGATGAAGCTACTTTGCATGTGCGATGAATCTACTTTACATGATGTGCTTTCTATCATAAGAGCTTGTACATCTTCACATCAAAACCTAAAAAAACTGAAGAATATGTTTCTCTATTGTACCACCATTTCTCCATCGCATATGAAGAAAACTGAGAATATTACAACAGCAAGCATCATGATGAGTAGGTCACTACACCAACACAGTGTCATGTGATCATAAATTGTGTCTCATAAGAACAACACGAACATGTTGAGGACCCTCCAGTAAGAAGTTTTTTTTTTTCGTGTTTACCCCCTTGTTCCCATGAAGAGAAGCCCCGTTGATGTGCACCACAACCTCCAAGATGAAAACCTCCAAGATGAAAACCTCCAAGATGAAAAATCTCTAATCAAACTACAACATGGACATGTTGGAAGGATGGAACAATTTATTGTTGTACATCTACGCACCCCGCACCCTTTTTCCTTAACCATTTTTCCTGTGACGATCACAATGTGTAGTCCTCGCAAGGGTTCATGGTTTCTGTTCTTGTTGTGCAAGGCCATCAAAAACTAGAGGGCTCGTTCTTGTACATGACAGAGACAGTAAGGAAGTCCGCTGTTTACTTTCTCTTTTGAAATAATGAAGAAATGCTCGTTCATAGTAGAAGTTGTGACATTGACAGACCGCTGGACGTGTAGAATATGCACATCATCGAAGCCGACGCGCACATAAGTACTTAAAAGCCCCAACATATTTCTTATTCTTCGAAAGTTTCGCCCTTATGTGCTGGCAGAAGACAGGAACTTCTACTCTGCGCGCTCTATTCTTGTAACTAACCCTACTTTTTCTGCATCATATTATCCTATGGTGCTGGTTTTGCTTCATTTTTTGAACTCGAAGCACAAGCACGCACTAGATTATGCAAATAATACTTAAAAGCCTCAACATATTTCTTATTCTTTCATCGCCCTTGTATTTTCCACCAAACTAAATTATCATATTAATTTTTACCAAAAGAACAAAAACAAAAATGGAGGCGGCCTCGTCGTCAGAAGTATGTCATCCTTCGGTACGCGGATCCTTTTCCTCACTCCTCGTCCTCTTTTCAGCGCTTCTTCTACTTGAGCCTACGTCAGCCTCGTCCTTTGAGCACTCGTCCCCGTTGCCTCGACCTCCACAGAGGTGGAAAGACCAAAAGCTTCCCTTCCGGTACTCAGTGGTAGCAAACGGACCCCGTGATCTGGCCACTCCCTCGGAACTCTTAGACGTTTTTGAAACGCATTTTCGGCAGTTCAATGTTAAGGGGGAGCATCTACTCGGAGGTGGACATCAATATGAACATCTTCAAGTAGTAGTTCAACAAGATACACAACTTGCATCATCGGGATCGGATGGTACACCAGCACCAGCAACAGCCTATCATCACAAAGATAATGTTGGTTGTGCCTTACCACCTAGTGACCGAATAGCTTGGAAGAGCTTCTCATTGGGCTCACCAGAAGAGTCGAGTACACCTTTGTCAGGTCAAGGTGGTGGTTCAGGTGCTGCGTCTCCAAGACTACTAGGAGCTTCAAGTAGTAAAAGAACTTCCCCAACAAGAGGAGGGGGTGTGGGCGCATTCAGTCACCCTTCTCCTCCCATAGTACAACGACCTACATCTGTGGGTCCCCGGACAAAAAACTTTGCACGAAATACCAGGAGTGGTACTGCTTCTAGTACAACTAGAAAAGGTACATCGCGTGAACGTCCACATCAACAAGAAGTAGAACGCAATCGACAGCATAATCATGAACATGCAGTACAAAATCCCGCTCATTTTCCCAAGACCTGGGATGCTGGGTTACGAGCAGCTTTGTTAGAGCGTGTGAAGTCTGGTGTAAGTAACGGTTTCCGTCTGGGATCCAAGTATAGCATTGCGGACTTGTCAACAGAAACGAACGCCTTGATTTTGCGCACAGACACACGGGGACATCTACTATGGCACCATGAGCGAGGTGGGGAATCATTCTCTTCGAAGCTGAAAGTTTGCTTGGTGAACGAGATGGTGGAGCAAGATGGAAGTAGTTTGAAATTGCACGTCTTGCGTGAAGATCCTCATAGTTTTTATCATGGCAGCGGTATGATTACAGGAGGCACACCAGCAGCAGCAGCAGCAGCAGCTGCTCAAGAACAACATGGAGCTGGAGGACGACCACAGCAGGTCGAAGCGTTTCATCTCTCTCGAAAAGACGGAACAATTTCCGAGGACCAATGGCGAGGAAACTGGCTTGGCGGTGATTTTTTTCAAAAGCCGTTTTTTGTGTCGGGACTCAGGCAGAAACCGAAAGTGACCTCAGTACGAAGTTGTCCTTCACCATTACCTTCAGCTTCTTCGAAATGCACTAAGGAGCAGAGGTGGAAGATGCTCGCGGAGCAACAAGCGAGCTGCAGTCCACGCAACCCGCGACCACCTAGAAGTAGTGGATCTCAAGGGGCTCATCATGTTGATCTAGGTGGAGTACATCACAAGCAGGCGACCGAGCAAGGAATCTATCAGCAAGACATCGATCGCTTTGATCAGAGTTTGCAGCGATACAGCGGAGCAGGAAATGGGGTCCTATTGCCTCTTTTTGACGCAGATGAGGCGGCTGCAGAGGAAGCCCTTAGTCGATATTTGGAAGTAGACGAGATTTCAGTGGTTTGCAATGCTCAGAAAAACGGACGAGATCATCAAGTAGAAGCTGCAAGAGGACGAGCAACAGGTCTAGCACCAAGCCGTTTGCGCCACGAACCGCAGCCCAGACGTCCTCCTGCTGCACAAAGCTCTAGTACCACGACTCCCGAGGCTCCTGCGATGCCGTACACAAGTATGTTGAAGCCACCACAACAACAGAAGTCTTCCTTGTTATCGATGCCTCAGACCACAGCAGATCCACATCCTTGTAGTACATCCCGATCCCCAGCTCCGTCTTCAGTACCGACAACTCATCTGCCTCATTGTTGCAGCGACGATCTATCCACAACCGCATGTTCAATTAAGGGTTGAAACATTTCATATTTGTACGCATGATTTGGCACATTTCAAGAAGAAACGTGTCAAATATGTAGGGCAAGTATGAACTGTTTCAACCTTAAACTCAAGCCAGCGAGGGAGCTACTTGCAACTCATCTCTTCGTCTTCAAACAACGTCGTAGTTCGCCCGACATCCTCCTCCTCACATTCGCTACATTCCGGTTACTCAGCGTCCGCGTCGGCGGGTCCTTCTTGCTCCACCAGTAGACCCTTTTCTGGACATAGCATTTTCACTTCTAGTCGACCTATGTCTCCAAATCTGCCGTTCCTACCTGAACAAGAGTTGCGCGAACAAGAGATTGGAGGAGTATTGCTGCTGCCCGAACAACTAGAAGGTGTAGTTGGTGGTCAACAAGTACTTCTAGATGAACAAGAAGCACATTTTGTGGAGGAAGACTATGATGAAGGAGCTGATCATGCTGTAGTGGTGGACCACGTCGTGCAGAAGATGAGTACACCTGTACCTGTAGTAGACATGAAGATGATAGATGGAGGAGCAGTACAACATCGACGTCGACAAGAAGCTCCACCAGAAGATGCTGTAGAAGCAGCACACCGACGTGAAGATGAAGAACTAGAACGTCAACTTCTACTCCAAAAGTTAAACCTACATGACGCTCCGCCTCTACCTGTGTCGCAGTCGCAGCTTCCAGATCAGCATCCTGATGAAGGGTTTGCAGAGGAACTATCGCAGTCGCAGCTTCCAGATCATCATCCTGATGAAGGGTTTGCAGAGGAACTACATAAGGACGCAGAGGACCGAGATCATGATCTGGAAGTGAGAAGTATTACTGGTGGATTTTACCCAGAGCCTCCAACTAGTACAGCGCGTTCCTACATGCCAGCATTACCACCTCCATTAGACGAGCCTCCATTACTCGAAATTTTGGAGGTGGAGGTGGAAAGGGAGCCCGAAGAAGAAGCAAGCAGGGAAGAAGATATTATTCGAAGAGTTGCACCAGAAGAACAACTAGTACAAGGACAACAAGCACAAGGACAGCCCACTGATATAATTATGGGTCGTATTATCGGGAATTCATCTCCAAGTCCAAAGTCATCTGAAAGAAAAAGACAAGAGGAAAAACGGAGCCAGATGATCCCTGAGATGAATTCCCAATACCTATTTACCTCGAATATAACCGAAGATAGCCTTCTAGAACCAGAGCCCGATCCTGAACTGACCTCCAGAAGTCATCTTCCTCAGCATGTTGTCGTCCGTAATCGAGAACAAGAAGTTCCAGTTATTTCATCTGCCTCTCAAGAATGTATGATGTGTGTAGAGCACTTATTGGGAACGTCGAAAATATTTATGGGAATGTCTAAGTTTGAGTATCATGTCGTTCCTAACTATAATTAATAAAGATAAGTAAGAAGGCAAAGACAAAGAGGGACGAACGACATTCCCATACCGACACTCTCAATGAGTGGAAGCATTCAAAGTAGCGCCTCTTCATGTGCCACGTCGCCGTACTCCGCCACTGCATGAGTCTGAGACGCTTTTAGCAGGAAGTCCTGGCGCGGCGATGCGCACGAGGGCTTTTATGGAACAGCAAGCTGCTTTTGTTCTCGAAAAGCAAAAGGCAGAGATGGCGAATGGACAAATACCCGAAGTTGGTGCTCAGTTTGCGCCTTTTAGTAATGAAGATGAGGAAGAGGAAGACGAGAGCTGCGATGAGAATGAGCAGACATGTCCTCTTCATGTCGAAAATGTCGATGCAGGTACTCGTGTTGTGAATGTTGGAAACCAGCAGGAGTCATCCTCATCCAGTAGGAGCGCTCCTGCTTATTCACCAGCCGCGACCATCCCGCCAGCTCCTTACCCACCAGCAGCCGCTGTGGAAGTGAAATCAAGCATCAAGACAAGTTGTAGTTGCGATGCAGCTCATTTCGAGCAGCTCTTGCGTGATGTAGAAGCCGTGAAAGCAGATGTAGTAGGGGGTAGTACACCTGCTGGACATGAAGAGCGATCATGTTGTCAACATGAAAAATTGACAAAACAATACGATTTTGTTTATGCCAGAGAGGTCCCGGACCTTCGTTTCAATGACCCAAGCCAAGTTCACTATGATCCGAATCTAGACCTGAAATTAACACCCTTCTACCACAAAGCGAAGACGACCCTACAAGCTCTTTCTGCTTTGTTAAAGCCTGGTGGACTATTGGTCATCGCCGTGTCGCACCTGTTTGCAAACGGAGTAGCAGATCGCGACGAAGTGGCTCGGACTTTACGACTGTCAGCGGCGGAGCGACAAGAGGAATTGCAGCCAAAGGTCCGGCAGGTGCGGCAAATGATGAATTTGCTGGAAGACTTGGTTGTGGGGAAAAGTGGCCTCATAGTTGATGCCGACAACACAAGCGATTTAGTGGAGACTATGCAAAAGGATCGCGAATACCTAGAAGACGGCTCTTTGAGTGCACTAATTAGGTCGACCAGAAGTAGCCCTACGCCCACTCCGAGTGAAGATCATGATGTCGAGCAGCAGATGTTGGGACTGCAGCAGGAGCACGAGGAGGTGATTAGAGACGTCGGTCAACAGTCACAGCGGAGACGAGAGCAGCAGCTCCATCACGATAAAGAAGGAATAAAACAAGACCATCGTGATCTTCATCATGACTTGCGTTTGACTAACGGCGTGATGTTCAGAGGTGAGATAGCTAGAATGCGCTACGGTTTTGACCTATCAGGGCAAAAGGTTCCTTTACCCGGTGTCACTGGTTTACAGGTGTTTATAGCGGAGAAGATGCCTCCTGAAGAGCTGCAGGTGCAAGAACAACGACAACTAAGAGTAAATCAACACTGCTCTGCTGGTGCTGAACAAGTTGAATCTGACGCAGAAGAGATGATTTTTGTCGATGACGAAGTAGATCATGATGGCATGATGAAGATGGATGAGCAGTATGACGAGGAAGTGATCAGAAATCTTCAGACACAACAACATCATGCGAGAGGGAGAGCACATAACGATAAAACTAACACTACTCGTGGTAGTTCGGGAGCTGGTAATCATGTGGCAGCAGCAGCACGAGCAGCAGCAGCAGCAGCAGCCATAGCGAGGCCACCTCCTCCCACTACAACTATTCCCACACGTAAAAGCGCCAACCAATTTGTCGCTCTCTTCCGTGCTTCTGTACATGGAGGTGTAGGAAGTAGAATGGGAAGCGAAATTAACACTGAGGGATCTTCTGGATGTCCCAGACCAGCTAGTAGAATGGGTAATAAAGTAGGAGCCTCAGCATCAACTAGTTCGAGAGTCGTGACTGGAGGCCAACAACCACCAGACAGTACATCAATCAATCCAGACGGAGGCGGATACGTTCATCTATCTTGGGATGCTATTAGAATGAATGCAGAGGCAGAGGCAGAGAACGAAGCTAGAATAAATCGCAGTAGAGCTACTAGTACAGGTAACGACTTCGTGTCTAGAAGAAGTGCCCCAGCTACTCCAACCTCAATCTGGACTCGACGCAAAATCGACACTTCAGGCAGCGTTGTGGAACTTTTTAAGGGGTTATAGAAACAAAAAATTCAACATTTCAAGAACAAATAAGGGGGTACTAGCTGTAGCAGGTTTTCGCTGCACCACTTGTAGTTGTATTACATTATACTGAATTCATTTTGATACTAACTAAGGTAGAGGTTAGTGAAGAGAGTTTTCTTCCAACTTCATCAAGCATTTGATGTGGGTGAATGATGACGCGACCACACCCACATGTTCAATTTCATGCAGTAGTTCGTTGGGATTTTATTTGAAGCTGCAGGCATTATTTTGTCGCGTTAACGGCTGTGGTTGATGTTAAGATACGGACACGCAGCGCGACCTTGTAAAAAAGTTCTTCTTGCCACAGCCACATGAAAAACAGAAAGAATCAATACCACGTTCTTGGTAGTACGCGGCTCTGAAGAAGATTTTTATGATGGATAAAAATTCAAGAAACTGAAGATTGATGATGCAGATTATGTCAACAGAGAATAAGACGATAATTACGGTAACAAGCGCAATTAATACCAAACAATCATGAAGATGAGAATTGCTCGTGTTGTTTCACCTCGTGTTGATTTAACATTAATAACAAGTTCAAAAGATTTCTACTACTTGCAAGACGACTAATCGTGCACTTTTTACTAACCACCACGAGGACTTTCAGTCACAAGACTCAACATATTAACTTTTTCATTTTTTTTTCATCCTCATGTCGAGCTGCCTGCAAAATCGATATCAAAGACCAGGATGATACTGTCTGTCTGATGTAAATGCAGATCATGTCATCAATGATTGCTCAGACTCACTCTACTTCTACGACATTAGCCTTCACGTGGTGAAGATCGCTGCTTGTTGGAGTTATCGATAGCCCTTGGTTCGGTACTAGAGCGATCATAACGAGACTAATACTTCAGTTCATTTCGCCTCGGTTTTAGGATCTGTACATTCTCGGTATCTGCTGCTGGAGAACGTCAGAGAGAAACATCGATGAAGAATAAAAGAGTTTCTGTTGCCTGTGGACAAGATAATATAAGCTGAAATATCGGAAAAAGTTTATCGTGCAAGAAAAATACCTGTCATCTACTTGTTACAACAAACGGATGAAAAAGAAGCCTGCTGCTTCTGCTGAGCGAGGAAAGAGACCAATTCCGAAAAAAATACAAAAATGGTAGAAAAAAAAGCTTCAAAGCGGACACCTAACCTAAGCTTCAAGAACAGCATTTCTTCAACCTCCATACCTGAAAAACAATCACTATGTCCTCCTCAACCTTGCGAGCCTCCTCCACCAATATTCCCGGTGGCGGCCAGCACCGCCTTCCCCGGATCATCGCAGGTCTCCGAGAAACCTTAGCCCTGGCCAAAACGCGAGGTTATCTTCTCTACTCCGTGAATGCGAACCTACTTCGGGATCCGTACAGCATCTTCCAGAATCTAAGACAAAGAGGCGTCGACTTGCTGGAACACAAGAGGGTGGAGTACTACCAAGGTGTCGAGGATGTCTATTACAACAAGAAGAACAATGAAGATGTGCAGAACAACAATTATAATTCGACGTCGAGAGCCAGTAATATTGCAACTGGCTCGATTTATTCGAACAGCGCCAACAAAATGGAAGAATTCGATCTGGAAGGCGCAGCCGTTCTTCAGGAACGACAACGGGAACTGGTGCTGTGTCAGCTCTACACTGAGTTGTCAATCGATGCCCTGTTGGACAATCACTACGAAACTCTGCCGAAACTACATCGAGCGCGCATAATCGAGGCCATTGTGGGAGAACTTGACCACTTACTCCGATCACCGGATGATATGAGGAGGAGAAGGGATGATGGTGCGAGCCGCGTTAGAATTTTTTTTTGCTTATGTCTATGTGATCCTCGAGATTGTTCTCCTCGTGGTTTCCATTTCTTAGTTCTGGTGATGTCGTATTCAAGTATGTCGAAGTAGGAACAACAAGTCTTGATGTTGTAGCTGGCAGGTTTACTCTCATCTCGTCGTCTTCGCAAGTGACCCACCAGCATCATCTTCTTCTTCATCAGGTAACAACCGATTGGGCATGCTTCCAGTAAGTGGCGACCCAGCGGATTTTATTACGCCACTGAATCTTTTGAATTCCGGTTTCCAGATGATTGGAAAGGATCCCTCTTCCAGCAGCTCGAGTGGAACTGCAGGTGCTTTACCCTATTCCGACGAGAGGCTGATGCATTATCTACTTTCTGAACTAGTGAAGACTCTGCTACGTTTGGAAGTAGGCAATAGAATACAGAACCTAAGCGAGCACCAGTCTGGCTCTGGTTGTGGCAAGCCAGCAGCCGCGGCTGTGTCTCCTGAAGATGATGCTCTGATGAGAACGTTACAAAGTAGTATGGGACGAGGTGGTCGTAAGAGGAGAAGTGGAGCAGGGGATGGATCATTGCGGGGCACCTCAGTCACATCTTTTAACAACTCCTCCAAATCAGCGGTGGTAGCGGCTAATGCACTCAATACAACTACTAGAAGTACTAGTTCAGGAGCAGGACCACCGTCTTCTTCAAAGAATGGTACATCAACGACCACAACTTCAAAGGATGGAGGTGGCAGAGTCGACTTACAGTTGTACGAATCGCTCATGAAGGGGTCGGTTTGGGAAGGTTTTCGACGTCTCCACTTCGTGAAGCATCCTCAGGTCCGCAATACCCTCCAAAAAGCCATTCCCCGACTGTCAAAAGTGCGGCAAATAGCCTTCTCTCATCTGTTGCATGCACTGTGCGACGTACAAACATTGTCCTTGTACAGAAGAGAGTGCTCGAATAGCTGGGCGAATAGGAAAATGCTGGAACAAGGGGGTGATGCCCGCGGAATCACACTAAGCGGAGGAGGGAGAGGAGATGTGGAGATGTCAACAGCAGCACCAAAAAAACCATTCCGATCCTCCGCACAGCCATGTGGAGTTGGTAGTAGAGGCATATTGGACGAAGTGACTACGACGAGATGCACAAAAAGAGCTTCATCACAAGCACGGCTGGCAGATCCAGGATTAAGGGTAGGTTAAAGGTGCTTTTCTTACCGCTTTTTATGCCTCTCCTAAGGGAGAAAGGCATAAAAAGCGGGGTAAGCGAGCACCAAAAACCTACCTCTAACAGGAGATCCAGCATCTGTTGATGAGCCTCCGCCAAATTTCGCGAACGATTTTCTTGCTGTTCAACCAGTGATCAAGGATCAGTATCAGACGACAACCGCGGTGCACACGGAACTTGTCAACAACGTGGTGAACTGCTTTCTTTAAGGCTATCAGTCGCGTAGCCTCGTCCACCTCTGATGTAAGTACAAAAACACTGCCTGATGTAGTTGTCTTTGCTCCACCATCACCTACTTACATGAACATGTCTTTATCTGCAATATTGGAGACTCCTACGACCGTCGATCAAGAGCATTTCTTTCTTATTTTGACCCTTGTCTTCCTTCTGTGCGTTATAGGCTTTTCTTTACTGATACATTACTCACTCCACTCATTTTTTCTTCTATTCCCTTTGATGGCTACTTTCTTGGCGGATGCGGTGCAGCATATACTAGAGTTGTAATCTCCCTCTTGCATTGTTGTATACTAGAGTTGTAGTCATAAGTACTTGCTTTGATCATGATCGACGCAAAAACAAGCACAAGCACAAATAAAAATCATCCACCTGCTCTAATCTCACGTCGCCTTGTCCGATTTGCCCACATTTTACTGCGCGTCTCAGAAACAACTTCTAGACTTCCGGAAATCACCCTTTTTGACCAAAGTCCAAAAGGGCAAGCTAATTGGCAAGTTGATTGCCGATCCAGATGGTGACGTGGCAGACTTTGGCATTTCAAGGTTTTTACATTTGGAAGAGTGGTGTCCTCCACCTAGTGGTACAACTTCTGGAAGAAAAAATATACTGCACCAGGATGAAAACCGTCGTCCGGTATCTGCTTCCGCTTCCCTACCATCAAAAAGGAGTCCGACTCTGTACCATTCTAATCCTGTTCAACAGAAACAAGAACCTCAAGTACAACTAGAACTACATCCGCCACAAACAAGTCAAAGTCTTTCCCAAGCTGTCGAAGCTTTGCATCGGACAATGCCAGCTAACACTGACCCTCTAGGAGAGACATTGATGGGTGGGGCTACTGGTGCATTGGCTGGGTTGCCTAAGAATGCGTTTGATGCCGCGGTGATGAGGTTTCAAAATATTGCGGAGAGGGGATTATAGTTCTGAAACTATAGTTCTAGTTACTTCTGTTCGGGATAATTAATATGCGACGGCGCTGAGGAGCTTGTGTATGTTGAGCTTCTTTCCGATAAGTAAAAACGTTTTCAAGCATTGCCAGGTGGATTCAACAAGATGAAGCTACTCGCGTATAACAACGATTTGTATTGACAATTGACGTCGATCGTTGTTGGAGAAACGCTCTCGCAGGAGTCGCGATAGCCTCCACTGTTCGTCTGCTTCCACTTTGGTATGACACATGAAGATGAAGGCTTGGTCGACGTACGAGCGATACTTGTGTCAGTCCTCAAAAATGTGTTGGTCTCTGTTGAGAGATCAAGATATGTAGTTTCCTGTTTCTGCTGTGAAATCTCGGTGTACGACTTATTTGCGATATGCGGTGTCTGTGAACTACAAGATATCATGATCGGTGGCTCGCAGTCACTCCTCTTCTCAAGTGTTGGTTGAGTGACATCTTCCTCATGTGCTTGTTATTTCTGTAGTAGCTCGATGCCCCTAGATCATAACCCGACCCACTCAATTTGAACACATCTACTTGTTCCCATTGAAGACGCTGCCTCCTCTGAGCAAGCATAATTGATACTCTTCTTTCGTAAAGAATGATGTATTCGAAATCCAATTCGCACATCAAATCACGCCAATCCGATATCCATTGATAATACAACTCCTTAATACATGACTAGAAGGTCAGTTGTAGTTGTAAGAGCGCCATATCCACGAGAGCTGCAAGACTAGGAATATCCATGAATGTAGTCTATTGAATTTTTCGCCGGTCGTCAGAACAAGCCCTACTAACCCTAGAGAAGGAACGACGTGGCTGAAGGAAGACATTTTGAATTGGGACTTCGAAGCTATCGGAGGAGAGGCGCGCCTTACATCATCCCATTTGAACTGCATCATCATGTCAGCAGCATCGGAGGAGAGGCGCGCCTTACAGCGGCGTGTCTCTGAGCGACTTCTTACTGTGGGCTTGACGCCGCCACGAAGTAGCGAAAGTTCCACCACACAACGAGGTAGCAATGATCGAACTTCCAGCGTCACTCCTCCACTACAAGGACAATTAAGGCTTGCCCTAATTCTTCTTAAGAGGCATCTTTGGGCACGATTTTAAGGGGAATTCACTTCAAAGATGCACTTTAAGATGAATATGGACACGGTCTAAGACAAGAGGGAGGATCTATCACCCCACCTCCTCGTAGCTCCACTATGATGTCTCTGGCGTCCGCGATGGGGTCGCTGATTGAAGGAAGAAACAGCGCAACGAAGTTGGCTCGAGAGAATCGAGACAGGCAACTTTCCGGAACAATCAGTTCGAGCACGATGTCTTTGTACAACGACTCAGGTGCGGAAAAAATCATTACAACAGCTGAACGATTCTTGCAACAGAACACAGGAGAAGGTCAAGGTCGTCAAGGTGAAGCTATACTAGATCAAGGTCGTGAAGATGTACGATTGCGTAGTGCAAGTGCTGGAAATAGTGCTGACCGGGAAGCTGTTCATCTACCTTCCTCTAGTATGCTCAATCCTCGACAACATCAAGAATTATACGGAGGAGGAGTAGGAGGTGGTGCCACGGTTTCAGTTTCAGAGGAGCACAGTACTCGAGGCGAATTTGACAGATCCGCCGGATTTGAGAGATCAGGCACCTCTTCAGGAGCTCAATCCCATAGAGTTCGAGTGCCGTCACCGAAGTTTAGACCGGAAGGCTTCGACTTTGGAGAAGGTGATGTGGACCAGCACTCGGCTATGGTGGATTCAACCGGGAGTTCTGGAGCGGCAGCTGCTGAGGCTAGCACACGGTCTGGATTAGAACAAGTACAAGATAGAGTTTTCATGAGTTGTCAAAAGCGGCGTGGAGAACATGTTGATCAGGATCTGGTAGATGCAGCTAGTCGTGTCGATCCCAGTTGTAGGAGTGTTGATCAGCCACAAGAACTTCATGTGAGCACAAGAACCTCTGCAGACCAGGAGCACATGATCGAGAAGCAGTTTTTGGAGCGGACTACATCCATCCCTTCGCCAACGAAAAAACCTCGCCATTTTCAAGGTAGATCAAAAATAGACGACCAGCATGATTCTCAACGAAAGTCCTGCTCTCCAAGAAGTACTAGAAGAAACAGTCGTGGAGGCCTATCTATCAGTATTGACGAGGAAGTGGAACAGCCTAGAAGGAGCGGAGATGTGAAACCGTCGAGTACGCCTGAACCAATGACTTCTAAACTACAAGTTCCTCAAGGTACTACAACTTGTTCTGGGTGGTCTCGGGGTGCGTCAACGCTAACGTTGACAACCAAGAATGCAGCTACAACAGCAGCAGGAGTCTCTTCATCAACCCCCAACGCTTTTTTGTTTTCGAGTTTAGAAGAAGAGAATATATCCTCTTTGTCTGGAGGAGAGGACACGGATCATTTGGCGGCGATGCAGTTTATGCTGGCTGGTGACGAACATCATATGAACAACACGAACTCAAATTTTTCTCCCTCACCCTCTCCTGCTGCACCAGAAGAACGAGAGGCTGACGCTAATGCTAATGCTATTTCCTCCAGTCCATCAAAAATCCCTTCGCCGCCAAAATTGAGTGCACAACGCATCAGCAATAGTAAAAGCTCGTCTGCCACTTTGAACGTGAAGAACCGCAGCAGCATGGGCGGACCAGATACTGACTATATCATGGGACGAGAGGACTTCTATGTTGATTCTAGAAAGGAAATGGCAGATGGACAAGAGCGCTCATCGTCATCTAGTGCCTTTGCTCCTCGTGACCGACTTCATCGCATCGACCGGTCTGTTGACGATGAGGATGAGCCCACCTATGGAAGAACTTCGAGTGCTGGGCCTTTGCAAGGGGATCGTGAAGATGTCAGCAACAAGCTAGTCCGTGTTGTAGAAACTCCTCCGGGGTCGGATGAGCTTGACATTGGAGGTGTTCCACAACAAAATGCAAGTAGTACTAGTAGGGTTTCTTCTTTATCCCTACCGCCTTCAAAAGGAAAGAACAACTACAACTATGGCTATAACGGAAAGGACGGGGTGGATCAACGTGAAGGAGCTGAAGATCGGCCAAGGCCATCAAGATCACCATCGACTCCACCTGATGACAGGGACAGAGGTGGAGGGAACTATAATGATGGTAGAGGAGGTCCTGGCGCTGTTCCTAGTCGTTTAGTCCGTCCCAGCTCGACCAGTCCATCTAAGCGTGGTGGAACTTCTACAAACAACTATAGTCCGAGTAAGAATTCGACCAGAGGTGGAGCACCAGGAGGTGGAGGTCGTGGTCCTCGAGGCAAGGTTCAGTCAGAGGGTGAGCGCAAACCAATGAAACTCTCTCACAAATATGGGTTAGGAGGTGGAGTGTCACTCCTGGGCGAGGGCGAAAGAGCCTCTACTGGTTTCTCACAACAAGAATCACTGCAATTGCAGCCAACTTCTAGAGCTTCGAAACAGTCAAACGAAGCAGGTTCTCAAGCTTTGGAGGAGGAAAATCACGAGCTTCGAGTCCGTCTCGGTGTAGAGCAGGAGAACTCACGGCGTGCGGAAGAGGCACATGCGCGATCCCTGGCTAGGGTAGCCGAATTAGAAAGGCAAAACAAGACTCTGTTAAGGCTTTTCTTAATCTAAGTGTAAGTATCTCGTGGTCTATGCGCAAGCGCATGATCTCTCAACCGGCGTATCTTCACAGGAAAACAACGGATATTATTTTTGAGGGTTCCACGACACGGCGATGTCTGAACTGAAGAGGGAAGGTCTAACTTTGGAGAACCAGCACAGGCAGTTGCAGGAGAAACACAGAAGTACCACAACGGAATTAGATGAAAGCAGAGACGCAGTGTTACAAGAACGGAAAAAAGCGAGGACGTCGCAAAATCGGATGGCGAAACAACATGCGGTAACGTGAAGATAATGCTAACGTCCTTGTGCTTGTCTTATAAGTATATAAAGTTGATCTTGATGTTGATATACAAGAAGAAGAACAACTAGTACAGCAACTTGTAATGTTTGTTGCTACAACCACCTCCATCATGCTTCCACTTGTTCCAGCTTGAGTCTGGTTAATCATGTTTCTCAACTTGAATCTTCTACTTACAGGAAGAGCGGGAGAAGCTGATCGCCGAAGTGAAGAGCGCTGCTGCAAAATACGCCAGTGACACCACTCCGAAAGTAGAGTTGATGACCAAAGTCACTGAATTGCGATTAGCAAAACAAAAGCTAGAGGCCAAGGTGAAAGTGCTTGAGGCCAGACTTCGTGAAAATGGGGAGGACGTCGCTCATGCCCAACAGGAAGCGGAGAGGGAGAAAACCGAGAGGACGAATATGGAGAAACGCTACTTGGACATGGAGAAGAGGACCCAACAAGCAGTGGATGAAGCCTTGGCTTTGCGTAATGATCTGAAGTTATGACGATCGACGTGGTGGGAGTAGAGGGTTTTGCTTCTCATCTTTCTCTTCATTTTGATGGCTATCATTGTGGTTCGAGCAGCTTCTTGAGATTACATACTTCTCATGATCCCGAGAAGAACAAGTGAAGAGATCATCTCAACAGTTCTTATCTTTGAAGATTGCAATTTTTTCTGCGAGGCGAGGGCACGAAGATCACGACCCGGGCTATGATCTTTTCTAATGAACACCGCTGAGGTCAAATTAGAGTCGAAGCAGCAACTTGTGGAGCAGATTCGGCAGATGGAGGTGAAGCTGAAAGAAAAAGATGAAACTCTCCAGACTTTGAGCATGACACTGGAGGAACAGAGTCGCTCTTTGAAGTGGAAACTAGAGCAAATGGTCCAAGAGCATGAAAATGACAGGGCTGAAGCGGAACGCAGGCGAGAAGAAGAACTTCTTTTGCAAGAAGAACGAGCTAGAGAGGAGTTAGAAAAGAGCAAGCTAATGGCGCAAAGGTACAACTGTATTTCATTTTCTATTTGATTTGATGAAGGACAAATACGTACTACTTGAACTTGATGTTGTTGTTGTTCTTCAGGAACATGCTCTTGTTGCTCTTGCTCCTCCACCGTCGCTATGGCTAAGTATGCATCTCGATATTTTATTTCTCAATGCATAGCTATAGCTACTTCCACTCCACCTCCATCTTACTGCGTCCCCCAAAAAAAAACCTACAAGAACCTCCTGACTTTGACTTACAACTT